TAGGGACCTCCTGGAGACCTGGAGCCAGAGGCATCTCCTAGGTCATTTAATGAGAATGAAATGACCCCACCCCATAGACAGATCGGAAAACAGACCGAGAGAAGGGAGGGCTGGCACTGGCTCAATCAGGGTCACATCGTGGCTCTGGCTCTGGCTCGGGTCTGGGACCGGTCCGAGGTGGAACCAGGGTTGGCCTCTGCTACTCCTCTTTGAGAACCCGACTCTGGGTTACGCTAGGGGTAGGGATTCACTGTGGTCGTCCGGAGCCAGGCCTCAGGTGGTTCTGGCCCTGCCTTTCCATATTCCCATGAGCGGCACTGACCCCTGAGTGGATGAGTGTGTGCGCGCGCGCTAGAGCGCCGGCCTGAGGGTGGGCGGGCGCCACTCACCAAGTCTGGTCTCTACCCGCACCACGGGTGGGCGGCATTCTCGGTAGAGTGGGACCAGCTTCCTTGTAAGCGATCAGAGCCGCTTCGCCAAAGAAGTGCTGCCCCAGTATTTCAAGCACAGCAACATGGCGAGCTTTGTGCGTCAACTCAACATGTGTGAGTCCCTCAGGCCGGGTGGGGACAGGGTGTGGGTGATTTGGTGCCAAAGATGGAACGACTCACCCCCGCCCCCCACGCCCCACTCTCCAGATGGTTTTCGGAAGGTAGTGAGCATCGAGCAGGGTGGCCTGCTCAGGCCGGAGCGCGACCACGTCGAGTTCCAGCACCCGAGCTTCGTGCGTGGCAGGGAGCAGCTACTGGAGCGCGTGCGGCGCAAGGTAGGGACAGCGAGCAGAAATGAGTAAACCCGCGTGGGGTGTTAGGACTGCTGGCCCTATTCTATGAGATTCTGCCTCTGCGGTGTACCTTCTGCAGGTGCCCGCGCTGCGCAGCGATGACGGTCGCTGGCGCCCTGAAGACCTTGGTCGGCTGCTGGGCGAGGTGCAGGCTTTGCGGGGAGTGCAGGAGAACACTGAGGCGCGGCTTCGGGAGCTCAGGCAGTGCGGGGGAGGGGCGGCCCTGGTGGGAGGTTCTGGGTGAGAGGATGCTGGCCACCAGAGGGTTCTGGGCAGCCCCTTCAGCTCTCCTTCCAGACAAATGGGCCCAGTTGTGGAACTTGACTCTCCATAAGGTGGATGATTATTGGGGTAGTGACCCGGGTCCCTTCCCTGCCGTGCCATTCTGTGTGTGTGTGTGTGTGTGTGTGTGTGTGTGTGTGTGTGTGTGTGTTTGGGAGGGAGAGTGTCTGAGAGAACTCAGATGCCTCAGCACCCTCCCACCCCTGCCCCTAGGCAGAACGAGATCTTGTGGCGGGAAGTGGTGACACTTCGGCAGAGCCATGGTCAGCAGCACCGGGTCATTGGCAAGGTGTTCCTCTTCTTCTACCTCCCTTCTCCCTCTCACTCCTGGGCACCCCTCTACACCCAGTCCTCTAGCATCCAAATTAGTCCCTTTCTCAAACCCACCTGGAACTGCCTGTTAGGGTGAGGGGGGTGTCCAAAATAGGAATAAGCCCTTCTCTTCCTCTTCAGCTGATCCAGTGCCTCTTTGGACCACTTCAGGCTGGGCCCAGTAGTGCAGGAACAAAGAGAAAGCTGTGAGTGAGAGCCAAGGATGCTCACCCCCAATTCTCCACTTTCAGGACCTTCTCTCTGCACAAGACCCCTGGCAGGGACCCCTTCTCTTCCAGAAACTCCTTCAGGCAGAACCCTCAATCCTACTCCTGGCTGCACATCAGCTTCCCCAACCCATCTGGAACTTTTCCCCCCTCCCCCAACACCACAATCTGGTACTCCCACTCCCAGGACCTTACCTCCAAATTCCCACACTAGCAATCCCTTCCCCTCCCCCCAAAACATCCCAACTGCAGAGCTTGGGGCTCAAACCATGCTCCCTCCCTCTCCTCTACCCCCAAAGGGCCCCCATCTCTGGGGGGGAGCCCCTTCCACTCTAGCATGTGACTGATGCCCTGGCAACAGGCCTCAGCTCTGCTGACTTGGCTGCTGGGGCCTGAGGGAGGGAGAGAGGGAGGGAAGTGTAGGCTGAGGGGCACGGGGACTGACCCTGCCCCTACCCTGAGGGACCCTGGTCATCCTGTATAGGTCCCTGATGCTGGATGAAGGGAACTCATGCCCAACACCTGCCAAATTCAATGCCTGCTCCCTGCCTGGTGCCCTCCTGCAGGACCCCTACTTTATCCAGTCGGTAGGTTTCTTTTCCCCCTTTCTCTAAAGCACAGCTGTTTCTTCTCCCGATTTCTCTCCAAAGAAGATGGAAGCCAACCTTCCCACCAAACAGACCCAGGCTCCCCAGCATGGACTGAGCCTTCCCCTCACACCCTGCCCCTTAGTCCCTATAGTCCAGATGGGTGCTGTTTGGGTTCTAGCTTTCCCAGTGGTAGAGGTCAAGGACTGGGTCTAGTTTTCTATTTACAGCCCCTCCCAGAGACTACCTTGGGCCTCAGCCCTCACAGGGCCAGGGGCCCCATCATCTCTGATATCCCAGAAGATTCTCCATCCCCTGAAGGGCCCAGGCTTTCTCCCTCCAGTGGTGGCAGGAGGTAAGGAGGACAGGGGCTGCCCTCTGGGGAGCCTGTCTGGGAGGGCCTGGCAGCCCAGATGGCTGTAGGGGTGGGGGAGAGGTCAGTGCCAGGGTCTGGTTGAAGCTTTTCTCTGGTACAGGGAGAAGGGCCTGGCACTGCTCAAAGAAGAGCCGGCCAGTCCAGGGGGGGATGGCGAGGCCGGGCTGGCCCTGGCCCCAAACGAGTGTGACTTCTGCGTGACAGCCCCCCCACCGCTGCCTGTGGCTGTGGTACAGGCCATCCTGGAAGGGAAAGGGAGCTTCAGCCCTGAGGGGCCCAGGAGTGTCCAACAGCCTGAACCAAGGGGCCCCAGGGAGGTACCTGACAGGTAAGCAGAGCCCATTCTTGAGGTGAGTCCTGCAGGCCACTTTTGCAGATAGAACAACACTCTGGCTCATGAAACTTCCCTACTTTGTCTGCCCCTTGGTGGCTGAGGAGGATATTGGGCACTTATGATTTCTCAGAATGTGCTCCAAGGAGCACCTACATACAAATTCTACACAAAGTAGGAACTCCTAGTCAGATCACCCAGCTCCTCTGTGGTAGGACTGAGGAATCCGCATTTTTAAATGAGTTCAATGGGATGATTATAATATACACAGTAATTTAAGAGCCCCTTGTATTTATACTTGCATAAGAGAGAATCTGTCCTAAGACTTCAAGTCCTAGAGGAAGCAGGGACACTCTGTGTCCATTTATGGGGAAAGGAGAGTGGCATTTTCTAGATGTTGGGGGATTTAAATCCTCTTGCATCCAGGTTCTTTGGGAACTTAATAGGTGGTGAGCACTGCAGGCCAACAGCAGATTTTTGTGCACAGGGGACCTCTGGGTCTGGAGCAGGGTAACAGGAGCCCAGAGAGTCTGCTGCCTTCGATGCTGCTTCGGCCTCCCCCTGAAAGTGTAGAGCCTGCAGCACCCCTAGATGTGAGTACTTCTGGCATAGAAGCACATGCACTTCTGGTTCCTGCTGTATGCATAGCCTGAGAGGGCAAGCACTAACCCAGAACTTTTCCCAGGTGTTGGGCCCCAGCCTTCCAGGGCGAGAATGGACCCTGATGGACTTGGACATGGAGCTATCCCTGGTAAAATGGGGCTGGGGAGGGCCACACCCTTTGGTCCATAGCTGTTCTCAGAGAGCCAAAGCCATGTCTGAGAATTGCCCAAGTGAGTCCCCAGGTTTCTTCCTCAGCTATTGGGCTCTCTCCCCAACTCCTTTCTGGGGTTCTCCCATGCAGATGCAGCCCTTGGTTCCAGACAGAGGTGAAGCTGAGCTGGCAGTCAAGGGATTGAGTTCTCCAGGTCCAGGTAATGGTTGTGGGGACTCAGGATGTGGGAGGGAGGCCATGACTGCTGAACTGCTATGATTGGTGGAGTAGGCCGCTTGGGTTTTACAGGGAGATTCCCTGAGTTCAGGCTGCCCTGTAGATCCTTCAGAAGCTCCCCTTCCCTTCACCATTGGGTGAGAATGGGGAGGTTAAGAATGATGTTTTATCCTGACTTGACCAGAAGTCAGGGGGCAGGGCTCTCCTCCGGTAGGAAAGAAGGGGGAACACTCCTTCCTGCTAAACACAGCCTCGCTCTTTCTAGGAAAGGACTCCACGCTTGGGGGCCCACTCCTGCTGGATGTCCAGGCAGATCTGGGAGGCCCAGCCCTGGCTGTGCCCGGGGCTTTAACCATTTACAGCACCCCTGAGAACCGGACCTCCTACCTGGGCCCAAGGGCCAGTCCCTCCCCCTGAGACCCATGAGCCTCTGAAGGGATCTTTTGATGTCCCCTGGGGACAGGGGTGAGCCTATCCCCCACTACTTAGCGGCCTCTCTCCATTTACCCCCATCAGAGCCGTGCACATAAACTGCATCTTTTTCTGTGCTTCTGGTGTCTTTTCTCTATCGACGAGGGAGCCCAGGACTCAGGGGGTGGGATGAGCAGCTTTGCAGAGATCCCAGAAGAGAACCCTGGGAGAGCCATGGTGCTGGGGAGCCAGCCCCTAACTCCTCGGGGCTTGAGCCTGGCCACTGCAATCTCCTGGAAGCGGGGACTTCGGGTGGCATCCAGCTCCACAGTGCACATTCTATATGACCCTGGACAAGTCGGGCCCCTTCTCTAAACCCCATCTGTGACAGGCAGAGAGCAGGGGTTGATGAGAAGATAGATGGAAAGCTCCTGGGAATGGGCAAGCCTAGTGTGGGTACAGGATGTGTGGGACCGCGGCCGAACTGTCTCCTCCCTGGCTCGTGTCCAGTGCGCCCGGGATGGGGAGGGAAAGCGGACTATGAGAACGTCCCCAGCCAGGGCGCGACCTCGCAGTCGGACTCTCAGCAGCGGGGAAGAACGCCCCCTCCCCCCCCATTCCCGGCAGCCCTGTCCGCCCCGCCCCCGTAGCAGCTGCTGCACCGGTCCCCACCCCTCCCGGCCCTTTCTGCACTGTCATCTCCTGCCCCGCGGAGGCTCGACCCGGGAGCGGGCCGCCCGAAACGGGCCGAACCGCGAGCCCCACTCCACCGGGCAGAGGAAGCAAGGGAATCTCAGATTGGGCCGACTTCGAGCCTCACCACCCGCAGCGGCGCTCGCAGGTCTGTGGGCCCCGCCCTTCCGCAGGACTCTAGCTTGGGACTGGGTGGAGGGGAGGTCAGGGTACCCTACGGTCGCGCATGCGCAACGGCTTCCACAGTTTCCACGACCCTCGGAGCTCGGCTGCAACTGAACCCTCACCGCCAGCTGGGGATTGGGGGCCTCACCCAAATCCACGCTTCGCTACCTGGAGCTCCGGGAAACATCTGGGCCTGTCATTTGAGAGAACTAGCGGAGACATAACTTCGATGTTCACCTTCGAGCTATGAAAGTTTCAAAGTGAGGGTCCAGAACAGCCGGGGTCTCTGCTCCTCAAGCAGGACTAAAGTCAGGGCTTGGGTTAACAGGAGAAGGCGACTAACGTAAAAACAACCTAGGAAGCCGGAGGGAGAAGGAGGGGCCAGTCAGGTCTACAGCCTTTCTCTCTATGTCTGGCTAGAGTAGGTGCAGGCCCCCTCTGTCTTCCGTGCCCTGCAAAGGGGGACAGTCTTTGGAAGCCTCAGTCCAGGAGAACAGAAGACCTCTGTGTACACAGTGCAGTGATGTCAGTTAATGAAGTAGTGAGGCGATATGCTGGTCACTGGAGTGCACAGAAGGAACCATCTTCCCTTGAACACTCTGGCATTGGGGTGGACAAGAGAATATTTGAATGTTGGAGGATGGGTCCATGAGTGGAGGGAGGAAATGGTATTTCAGGCCTAGGGAGCAGCATCAGCAAAGACTGAGAGATACCAGGAACATAGTGAGTTTTCCCAGAACAGAGTGGTGGGGAGAAGTAGAGAAGAGCCTCACTGTTCTGAGTGGTGAGTGGTAGCTAGAATAACCAGACCAAATAGCTAAGATAAGCAGTAGGGGCAGGAATAAGGGGTAAAGGCTGACATTCTGCTTGACAGGAGACCTTGGTATTGTTCAGATTGGAGCAAGTCAGAATCTAATTCTATTTTGCTTCTCTGAGTCTATCTCCTCAGCTGTAAAATTGGAACAATAAATCCTACCCCAGAGAGTTGTCAAAGTCACTATGCTGAGGGATGGTGGAATTAGAATGAGAAGTACTCAGAGGGACTGTTACAGGAGATGAAGTGAATGGTGGGGTTGACAGGCAGGAGCTGATGGAAACACTGAGATACATTTGTCACAGATGAGACATGAAGGGAGATGGAGGGTCAAGGGTAGTTCTGATCTGTGCTTGAATCTGGGGGATAGGCTGACAATTTGATAAGAGGGGAGGGAGAGGAGCTTGGGATATAGCTCAGTTGGTAGAGTGCTTGCCTCACATACACAAAGCCCTGGGTTCAATCCCCAGCACCACACACACACACACACACACACACAGGAGTGGAGGGAGAGGTGGCTGGAATGTGCAGTGACCAAAGGAAGCACATCTTGACACTACGGGGTTCTGAAAGAGACCTGGGAGGCAAAATGGGGACTAAGACTCTATAGACCAGGAAAGGAGGGAAAACACTACATGGGAAGTAGAGACCAGGAAGGATGCTGTGTAAATAAAGCCAAGTCAGGGAAAGGGGCAGAGGGTGGGAGGGGTCCAGGGCCTGACCCCTTTATCTAATGTCAGGGGCCTTGCTAAGGCTGGCAAAGAGATGGGCTGTTGTCCTTGCTTGGTAATATATAGACAAAGCAGATTGATTTCTACCTAGTCCCTACAGTTTGGTAGAGACAGTCTCAAAATGGGAAGAAAAAGTTTAGCAACCTTTCATGAGCTGGGCCCTCAGTATTTCAAGATCAAACAAGAGATGACTATCATTCCCAGGCCAGCAGGGAGTCACCTGGGTCTTGGGTGATGTTAGGAGATCTTGGTCAGAGGTAGGATTCAGGAAGATTCAGGTATCCCAGCTAGGTACCTGGGAACCAAGAAGGGCCATGAGATCATGTTGGGGTTAGAACTGGGTGGTGATGGTGAGGGTAGAGGATCAGGGCCTGTCCTGGCAAGTTGAAAGAGGAGCAGGGCAGGCTCTCAACAGTTTGTGCAGAGGGTACTGGAGGACAGATTGTGTAAACAGGGAATCCTGATCCAGGGGTTCTACAGGGTCCAGGCAGGAAGTAAAAGACTAGACTCAGAAGTGAGAATGGCAAGAGAAATATTTGTCAGACTGGAAAGGACTTGACTGCAAGCTGTAACCTTGGGTCTATCCTAGGTTTTTCTCCTATTGAGATGGGGAAGCAGACTAGAGAAAGACCAAGAAGTGGTGGCAAATGCCTGAAATCCCAGCAACTCATAAGGCTAAGGCAGAAGGATTCCAAATTCGAGGCCAGATTCAGCAATTTAGTAAGGGTCTTAGGAGACCTTGTTTCAAACTAAAAAGAGCTAAGGATGAAGCTCAGTGGTAAAGCACCCCAGGGCTCAACCCCCAGTACGGGACGGGGGCGGCGACAGACGTTTGTTTGGATAAACTGGGTTCTTACTGTCGGATCTGCAGGCGGCTGGGGCTCAGGAGGGAGGCCCTGATTGGGAGAGCCTACAACTGACGTTTAGAGAGGGGAGGAGCCTTAGAAGACTGAAGAGAAGCTGCAGGCAAGAGGCGGGAGAAGAGTTCAGTACCGTGGTGCCCGAGTCCTGTGCTGCGGAGTCATCTGGCCGCTGAGGTCAAGGTGAATTTAGACCACAGCCAGGGATGTTCACTGGGATCCTGGAAGAGAGGTCAGGAATGGAGGACCCTCGGTGCCCACTACTTCTCTCCCCCTCTCTGTACAGCCCGGACCATGGGCAACTCGCAGGAGCGGCCTTCGGAGACCATTGACCGTGAGCGGAAACGCCTGGTGGAAACGCTGCAGGCGGACTCGGGACTACTGCTGGACGCGCTGGTAGCACGGGGAGTGCTCACCGGGCCGGAGTATGAGGCACTGGATGCACTGCCTGATGCTGAGCGCAGGGTGCGCCGCCTGCTGCTGGTGGTGCAGAGCAAAGGCGAGGCCGCCTGCCAGGAGCTGCTGCGTTGCGCCCAGCAAACCTTGCGCGCGCCAGACCCAGCCTGGGACTGGCAGCACGTGGGCCCTGGTGAGCGCACGTAGACCAGGGGCGTGGCTTGGGAGCCAAGCAAAGGCTAACTGAGGGTTGGAGTCGTGGTATTCCCCCAAAGTAGGTGAGTGTGTGTACTAAGGATTGCAGAAAGATAACTTGACCCTGAAAGACCCTCCCACTTCCGCCCCAGGCTACCGGGACCGCAGCTATGACCCTCCATGCCCAGGCCACTGGACGCCCGAGGCACCCAGTTCCGGGACAGTGTGTCCCGGGCTGCCCAGAGTTTCAGATCACTATGAGGCAGGAGGTCCTGAGGGCTCTGAAGCAGTGCAATCCGGAACTCCAGAGGAGCCAGAGCCAGAGCAGGAAGCTGAGGCCTCTGAAGGGGCTGAGCCAGAACCAGAACCCCAAATGGATCCAGAACCAGAGCCGGAGGAAGATCCAGAACCAGAGCCGGAGGCAGATCCAGAACCAGAGCCTGAGCCTGAGCCTGACTTCCAGGAGGGGGATGAGTCTGAAGGTGTGAGGCCTTGCAAACTCTGTAGTGGTTTAGCAGAGGGCATAGCTCAGGAAGTTGACTATTGTCTCTTCCTTTCTAGATTCCTGAAGGCCAGAATACTGACCTGACGTTTCCTGCCCAAGCCCAAATAAGATAGAACCTGGGATTATGCTGGAGCTGGATCCAGTGCCACCAAAGCTCCATCATCTTATGTCTTATTGGAAGTGAATAAACTCCAGCTAACCTAGGCATTTTTTTTGGGGGGGGGTGGTTTATGTCTCTAAGAACCTGAACATTCTGGTGCCCCACAACACTCCAACATCTAGTTCACAATCCCATTCCACACACAACAGCCCATGCTGCAGGTGATCTCAGAGCTAGGACCATATAGTAGGATGACCTGAAACCTGTTCTTTTCCCTTCATGAGCCATTCGGGGAACTTTTTAGACACTAGCCCCATTCTATGGAAGAAACTGGGCTTGGGGCAGAAAGCAAGAGAAGAGGACTCTGACTATCTAGGGAGGGCTCAAGAGTTCACAGCCTTGGAAATTGAAATTAGAGGGGAATTAGAAGGACCTTAAGTAGACAGAGGACACACGTGTAATTTTAATTGCCGTTTTAATTGTCTGGTTTCCCTCTGAACTGGGAGTTCAGTGAGAATTTTAACCAGTAACTGGCACATATGTGTTGACTAAATGAATAAGAACTCTCCAGCTGTGTTTCCAAGTTTTATAGATGGGAAAACTAAGGCCCGGGATAGGAATGGGACTGGGTCAACCTCACGAAGCTGAGTCTAAGCAACAATCAGCTGTGTATTTCTCCTGGCCCAGGACAATAAACCTAATGGGCCTGCCCTTCAGGCTTAAGGGTGGCTGCTCCCAGCTATGCCAACTCTTGCCTAAGACCAACTGGGAGGGTGTGGGAAAAGACAGGAAGAGCAGAGGCCAGTGAAGGGGTCAGGTGAGCTTTTGGGCTCGATGCACAAGACCTGAAGCCCAGCATGTATGTGCCCATGTGTGTATAATGAAGGTAACTTCCAGTAGTATCCTGTCCCTCCACTGTTACCTCCAAGCTCCAGGCAGTAGAACACAAAAGTATTGAATAAACACATGACTAGTGAAAGAGGCAAAAATTCTGGAAGGCAAACCCCAGCCCAGCTGGGTCTATACCATCAGGACCCCTGCCCTTTAAGCCTGTGTGAAAGCCAAGACCCCAGGCGCAGGCAATCACCCCAGAAGGGGGGATCCCAACCCCCACCAGGACCCAGTAAGAGGTAGACAGCAGGAATGCTGAAGGAGCACCAAGGGGCAAGGTGGGGGAAGGGACAGACTGGAATATTGGACACCCAAAGCATCTCATGCAAAAACAAGTTTCTACTCCCAAACCACCCCTTATTCCCATTAACACTCACCACCCCCCCTCCTGTCCCCAGGCCTCCCCTCTGCTCAGCAATTTGCCAGAAATGCTGCCTGGTCCACAGGCACCAGGAAGACTATCAAGGGACAAAAACCTCTGATGCTGCTGCCTGTTCTTCCAGAATGCTCTTGGCCTCCCAATGCCCCCAAGAAACACCCAGGCTGTAGAAGCACAGAGCAATCAGCTTCATATTCTGGGGGCTGATCTGTAGGCCTCTGCATAGGACTTCTGCTGATAGCCCTCAATAAACATCAATCAGGCAGCAGGCGGCCCAGCTCTGCTTCATCCAGGCGATTGGTTGCCATGATGTGCTCCAGCTGCTGCCGATAGCGTTCCAAGTCCTGCATGAAGTGGGGCACTCGGGTATTATCCAGCACCCCATGGGGCCGTAGGTGATCCACATCCTCATAGGAGACCTGCAGGGAGGAAGCTGAGCTTCAGAGCTAGACAGAGCTCCTGGCTTTTAGACAGGTGGTCCCAGCTCTGCTGATGGCTCATGGCCATTTGCTCCCAGGGCTCCTTCTTCCCATCAGCCTACCATACCCACAGTCCCATGCCCATGCTATGTACCTCTAGGCTCAGACCTGGGTCTCTGTTCTTTCTCTCAACATTTTCTTTTATCTCTGTCCTATGACCCACTCCTGGCTCCAGCCTAGCCTATTTCCTATCTTCTGATATAGGTATCCAAATGCCTCCTGAACACCTTCCCCTGAATATCTCTAAGGCACCTCCTCATAGTCAACATCTGGGTACCAGCCCAACTCTTCAGTCACCCAGGTCAGGTTCCAGGGAGGATGCTTGGACTCTCACCCTCCCACTCAGGGCAGCCACTGAGATAAAGGAATATTCACTTTCCAAAGAGCTCTCTAGCTTGACCCTTCCTCTCTAAATACATGACCACTGCCTGGGGTAAGGCCATCACCATCAATCTGTAAGAGTGACAGGACAGCCTCTTCTTCTTGCCAGCATACTCTCTTCCCTAAGACTCTCTTTTCAGTTCCCCTGCCATATAACTCCAGAGGGAGCCTTCGAAAGCAAATAACTGCACCATACTTTCTGCTTAAAGCTCCTCCAGCTCCCCACTGCTTCAAATGAAATCCACTCTTCTCTGCCTGGCACAGAGGCCAAGCACCAGAGACTTGGTGGTCCCTGGCCATTTGTCCAGCCTCCTTCCCCAGGCCTTCCTAATTATTCCCTTAGCCTGGAATACTCACCTCCTTTGAAATGCTGCACCTACACACCCCTATAAGCTGGGTCAAGTAACTACTTTTGATTGAATTGAAATGAAATGAAATGACTAGAAAGTCATTTGATCTCCTCTGCTCAACCCCATCCATGCTTCCCGCACCAGAGAGGTCGGACACTCAGATCTCAGTCCAGCAAGAATCAGAAGTGCAAGGAATATTGCAGAAAGTGGGAGGGCAGACCGGGAACCCAGTCAGTCACCTTGCCCAGCGAGGTCAGCAGTGGGAAATCAATGGTTTGGCGGTGCCGCAGAATACGCACGATGCCGTCCAGGTACACCTGGTCCTTGCTGAAGCAGCCTGTGAGTGCAGGAGCCAGTGAGTTCTTGAGGTGGAGCCCCAACCCTCGCCTCCGCCCAGGTCAATACCCTGCGTCCTGCCCACCAGGCTTGGAAGTGTCGGTCTGGCCACGCTTGGCGCGCACGCAGTACTCCCAGCGAACGTCAGCGTCCTGCACGTAGCGCGCCAGGTCCTGAAAGAGCTGGCGGAACGACATGCGCGCGGCCTGATGGATGGTGTAGTAGAGCAGAGCTGCGCGCCACAAGAATGGCTGCTTGCGAAACAGCACGCTGTGCAGGCTGGCTAGACCCTCCTCCGTGGGGTTGGCTGGCCGCAGCCCATACTGCAACCGGCCCTCGGCGCTGTGCCACGGTTGCTGTGCATTGTTCACGCCCCGCAGGTAGTGAGTGCCTGCGGAGAGGGCGAGGGGGAGGCTGCGCTGGGTGGGGTGTCTGGAGAATCCACCCTGCGGACCTCTAGTGGCGACTCTAGTATCTTCACGCCCCCAAACTCAGGCTGTCCCAGCCCCAGAAAAACACATACTCACCAAACCCCAAGCTGCGTGAAGACCCTCCAAAGAAGAACCTGCACCCAAAGGCTCATACAGACTCAGACTCATGCATGAATATTCCTCCACCCATTTCAGTATATTCTCTTATTCTCTCTCTCCCCGTCCCTTTCCCAACTCATATTGTCCCTCCACCCCCACCCCACCCCTGCTTCCTCCAGCTTTCCTAGAGAGAAGGAACACACACACACCACCCAGCCCCAATATCTTGCATGCCCTCATTAATCACTAGATAATCACATTGATTCCCCCAGCAAAACCACTTCTTGCCCGGGACAATAGGATTCTTTATGAGGAAGGAAAGACAGAAAGGAATAGTGATTAGTGTCCTGTGCCCTCCTTTCCAGCCTGGTCTGCCTGCTCCTAAATTATACTCTGTGTGACCTCAAACAATTCTATTTCTAGGATCTGGCCTACCACCCACCCTAGAGGGCCTGCAAGTTGGCTGGGCTGATGGGACCCTCAGGGTTCTCCCTCTGGCCTGTCAGAGCCTCAGCAGCCTTGCCCCACTGTCAAAGGAAATCAGAGAAAGAAAAAGACATCCCCCAAAGGAACAAGAGATTAGGGTAAATCCGGAGAGTGGGCAGGTGTGTTCTGGCCTACCTCTGTGAGCGAGAGGGAGGAGGCAGCTGTTCAGGAAGGGCAAGGGCCTGTCCTCCTCCAGAGGGAAGAGGGAGAAACAAAGGAGGGGGTTACTGGGGCCCCTCACTGCCCACTCCCCAGATTTCAGCCCTTTCTCATCTCCACCCTTCTACCCCCCTACCCATGACTCCCAGCCTGACCTATCTCATGGCGAAGCATGCCCTCCAACCAGTATTGGCGAGCTCCAGTCAGGTTGATGGCCAGTGTGGGTCGGCTGTTCTCCACCATCATCACAGCCTGAGACAGCAAGTCCTCACTCAGCTGCACCACAACCTGCAGATGGCAGTGTACTGAGTCATGGTTACTAGCCTTGGGGTCACTGTGTAGGTGGACCCATCAATGCCAAGGGCAGCCAAACTAGACACTGTTCAGGGCACTCACCCTTTACCACTTCTCCTCAGAGCTACCTCCCACCTCCCTGAGGCAAGAACAGGGATTTGTCTCAGATCACCTGCTGGCCAGGTGTGAAGCTGGGCCTGGGACCACCTGCCAGACAGACTGATTTGGGGCATATTAGGGGCTGTGTAGGCAGGAAAGCTCACCTCTCCAACGCAGCCCTCTTTCTGCATGTATTTGCGCACAATGGACCAAATCTGGCACTTAGTCAGCAGCTGGCCCCCGGTGGCAGCCTCAAAGTGTTCATAGGTGCCAAACTTCTCCAGAACAGCCTCAATGATTCCAACTGCCTGCACACAGGGCCACAGTAGCTTGTCAGGCTGGGTCCCTTGAGTTGTCAGGGACAGGGTAAGGTGGGCAGGGTGGACTGACCTGATGGATGAACTGTCCAGAGGCCTCACAGTACTTCTCCAGCACAGTGGTGGGCATGGGCTCCTGGTACTCGAACTGTGGGTTGTAGGTGTAATGGGACTGGAAGAACTTGTCCTTCTCACGGTCCATGTTGGTTGGCCGCAGTGCCACCAACATACAGGGGCTCTTGGTACCACCACCTGCATCCCTTCGAGTCTTAGCAATGTGAGGCAGAGAGGCTGCAGCCCGCAGGGTACCCCTACCTGCACCTCGTCCCTGTCCAGGAGGGGCTGGTCCCCGGGTGCCACGCCCTCGACAGCCAGCACTGTTTACAGTGTAGGTGCTCTCACTCCT